GATCATTGACAGCTAGCATACTAAGCCTGCCTGGCTAGCTGGGCGACCGACCACAAACTGACTGGCGAGTGGCGACTGGCGAGTAGGCAGATACATGTACATGTATGCCTGTACATCTGTTGACGTCATCAAACAAAACAAGTCCACAATACTGTTTGATGACGTCAACAGATGTACAGGCATACAGTAAGATCGGGCGCCGAAGAACACCTCGCTGAAGAACACCCAGGCTGGAAAACCGGCAAAATTTAAGAACAGTCCAGGCTAGAATTATCAGATTTTTAAAATAATAATAATAATAATAGCACATTTCGCGTAGTAGAGCACTAAATAAAGAAATTCAGTGTTTTTTCCGCTTCTGTCTTGTGAGCATCATCAGCTAGGTGTAGTAGCTGCTGATACCGATTTCTCGCCGGGTGTTGAGCTGCACAGTTTCCTCCAGTCTGTCTTGTCTGCTGCTTGTTGTCGGCACCTGGAAAGGTCTTCCATGGTCTTCATTGGCACACACAGCTTATTCAGCTGAGCAACCAGACTTGTGGCCAGTGTCAACCTTGGCCGTCCACGAGGTGCTTTGTTGCCCTTGTCAAAATAGCCGCTCATGGCTACTTGCGGTGGCGTGTCCGTGTCCATCCGTAGCACATGACCGGTCATTCGTAGTCGCCTACATGCAACTGTGTCTGATATAGGGTTGCTCTTGGTTCTGCGGTATAGGTCGTCGTTTGAAATTGTGTCTGGGTATCGTATTCCAAGGAGTGATCGCATTTGACGCCGGTGGAATGCGTCTGCCTTGGCCATTGCTGTTGACGATAATCCCCAGGTCTCGCAATTGTACAGGAATGTCGGCAGTACGATAGCGTTGTACAGGCGTAAGCGTGTCTTCTCCGCTACTTTATCTCTACGCAGCCATAGGGCGTACAGCTGGCCAAACACGCGAGAGGCAAGTTCCATCCTGCGCCGAACATCCTCTTCCTCCCCCATCAAGGAGCCAAGCTGCCTAGATGTCCGCCAGCTCTCGGATTCAGGTGACACACGGATCCACTCTGTTTTATCTGGATTTACTTTTAATGACCAATCGTGCAGTGTGTCTGCTATTACAGGCAGAGCATTCTCAAGCCACAGCTTGCAGGTTGAATAATAGGAGATGTCATCTGCATAACCCGTCTCTGGTGGTAGACTTGCGTCGCCAGCAGGGCGGGGCGCGAGACGAGTTCTGCATTCCTGTAGTGCAGCCTCCAGATAGCAGATGAAGAGAACTGGGCTGAGACTGTCGCCTTGTGGTGTTCCAATAGTGCTCTCAAACGGTTCAGCTGTGGCACTTGCAACCTTAACAGTGATAGTTGTGTTGTGGAGTAGGTGGTGGATGAGACATGTGCAATCTGGATTGGTGATTGCAGACATCACCTCCAGCAGCTTCAGGCGGTTAATCGTATCAAAGGCCTTGGACATGTCCAGGCCTAGAATGTGAAATTGCTGTCGGTAACGAATGGCTCTTGCAGCGATCCACCCCTGGGTCCATACCACGTCCGCTCTACTACGGCCCGGGCGGAAGCCGGACTGTGTAGTACCAAGATGACGAGAGAGTGCCCCGGATTCCGTGATGCGCCGAAGCACAATGATCGATATCACTTTGCGGATAGAGTTTAATAAAGTGATGGGCCGCAGACTGGTTACAGGACCCTTGGGCTTGTTAGGCTTAGCGAGAGGTATGAGTATTCCTGGTCCAATAGCTGTCGATAAATTGGCACCCTGCGAGAGCGCAGCGTTGACGAAATTTGCTATGACCGGCGCTAGCACCTCGGATCCATATTTCAGGAGCTCTGCTGGGATTTTATCTGGACCACAGGCCTTCCCGTTTCGCAGGCGCTTGAGGGCAGTGGCGACTTCAGATTCGGAGATGGGAGTGGCGAGGGAGTATGGTGATGGCGGTGGTATTTCACCTGCTGTTTTGGCACTGAATTGTGAGGAGAAGTGATCTCGAACTCGACTGGCCTTGTCTGTGGCATGAGCAAGAATACATCCATCAGCTCGCTCGACAATCAATGGTGATCGTTGTCCACTACCACTCTTTAGCTGCGCTGCTGCAGTAAACATCTGAGCAGATGTAGGTGCCTTTTCAACCCGCTCTGCAATCCTATCCAGGCGTTCCATGGCATCGCTGCGCTGAATATTTCTGATCTGGTGCATGATGCAGTTCCGTTCCCTCTTTAGCTCTTCTGGATTGTGATGGCCTGATTGCTGAAGTAATCTGATTTCCCGTTGGCGCCGTGAGAGGGTTTCAACCTCTGGATTAGGTACACAAACCCTGCGTGAACCGCTTCTGTGCATGCGTCCAAGAGTGATCTCTGCCACGTCCATGACCGCTTGCGCTGTTGAGTCCCAGGTACTGATCACGGAGCCACTGTCAGATGACCCACAAAATGCAGGTTGTTCACGCAGTTTCTGGCAGAGGCTGGACTGATATTCCTTACGGACGTCAGCGTTTTCTAGTCTCTGGATTGCGATGGGAGCAGCGGCCTTGCCTGCTGCGGCAATGTGTACACGGTATAGACCAGTCAGTTCCATGTCCGCAATGACTATTTTATGATCGCTGAATGTCTCGGTTCCAGCATACGAACGAGCTCTCACAACTAGTGGCTTGTAGCGCTTTGGGATCACGATGTAGTCAATCATGTTGTGGATCATTTTCCTGAGGCCATCAGGGGATGCCATGCATCCAGTCCATGTGGTTCTATAGCGCATTGAGTAGCGGAAGAGCGTATTAGTCAACACCAGATGATGCATGTTAGCCCACTCTACCAGCGCTTGACCATTGTCATTTCTTACACCTTTGCCATATTGACCGACACACGCTGCTTCACCTGCTCCGACTTTGCTGTTAAAATCACCAAGCCCAATCACGAGTGTTCTTCCACTGCACTTGTTCCAGGCTGTGGACAAGGCGTCATAGAACCTTTCACGAACCTCAGGATTACTCTGCGCTGCTGGGTTTGTGGGGCCATATGCCACGACGAAACGAACAGGTAAGGTATTGCCCTTGCCTTGCGGAATGGAGAGGTCGACAGTTCCGACTCGGTCGGAAATTTTTTTGAATGTTGATACAAATTTGTTGAGCATGTTCGATATGACAAATCCATTACCTCCATGCCGGCCCTCTGCTTGACCGAAGCTGACAAACCGATGCGAATCACCGAGAGGCTTATCGACGGTCGTTGTCATCTTGAGCTCCTGAAGTCCGCAGAAATCAATACGATAGGCGTCCATGTCACGAGCTAGTTGCTGTTGCTTCGACGCAGAACAAAGTCCGCGCACGTTGAACGTGGCGAAACGAAACCCCCGGGGTATCATTTTTCAGAAGAGTTATTGAAAGTTATTGAAACGTTAGATGTCACAAGCTTTGACAGTCAGGTAAGAAGGAGAAAGAAGAGAAAAAGGAGAGAGAGAGAGAAAAGAAAGCTAGGCAGTCAGCCTAACACGTGTAAACAGCAACTGCTACATGTACAGTCATTCCCATTTACGACACCCACTAGTTTAGAAGTACTACATGGCACAACATGTACATGTACATGTACATGTACATGACAAATGCCATGACGTCACTCGATTCGCCGCACGCGTGTGAATAAGAACGGTCTGGCTAGAATCAAAAATTTAAGAACTTTCCTAGGCTGCGCTCGAGCCCCTGCGTTCTTCGGCGCCCGATCTGACTGTACATGTACATGTATCTGCCTACTCGCCAGAGTCGCCACTCGCCAGTCAGTTTGTGGTCGGTCGCCCAGCTAGCCAGGCAGGCTTAGTATAGGCTAGCTGTCAATGATCCATGTCACTTGTCAGCTTCATTTTTATGCGGTACTGCACTGGGGAGATCTACTGGAGGATCGCTTTCCGAAATGCTTACGAACTTTTCGGCACGCGGCTGCGCCGTTTGCGGTACCGGTGGCCGATTGCGATCAAAACGTTCACCAACTGTTGAGGCGAGAGACAGCTAGCTCTTCATGTCTGCACCTGTACATGATATTGGGAACGAAACCATGGAAACTGTTGGTTGCTCCCTAGTCAGACCCTAGCCTGAAGAATGTGAAGATCGTGCTATCCACTGAGTCTGTCAGTGTCAGTTAACCGTCACCGACTTGGCTTGACACTACTCACTAGACGTCAGTTGACGTCATGACGACTGCCGTCCAGGCCACACGCCATACCCATCGAGCCTTCGACCGGTCAAAGGTGCAAGAAAGCACCAGTCCCTGTTCAATGCACAGTGTTTTGTGGAATTTATCTCTCATCAGTTGAGCTTGAGTAGGCTGAGAAAGACTGCGCTTGAAGACCACTACATGTACTTGTCTTTCATCGTGCTCTCCAGGCCATAACATCATCAAGGAATCAAACAAACTTTATCAGGTGTTGCGAATCCAGCGCTAATAAATCCAAAGATACCTCGCGAGTTACTAGAGAGGTTGCGCACAATGAAATTTCGACCGGCCGGGTTCGAGTAACGAAAGTTGCTCCGAAGATCCTTCAAGACCGAAACAGAGCAGATCTACGAAAATACTTTTCGTTACATTGGAGTACTAAAATACTGATATTTTACAACTCCCTGTCTTGACTCTTCGCACCCGCGTGGCCGCCGCGTCGACCCACTACGAAAAAGTTCACGCGTTCAAGTGTGCGCAAACTCACGGTTTACGAATATTCGTTAGCTTTTTTCGTTAAAAATACTCGTTACGTCGCTACGAATTTCCGCTGGGTGCAACCTCTCTATGGACTTGCTTGTGTGAGCTGAGGAATGGGCTAAAGGAGCATACAAGCTTTTAAAGTGATGTTAGAGTAATTCATCTCATAGTACAGAATATGCTACATCATCAGCAAATCAAGTACCAGTACATATAGTCTCTTTGATGCATATTCTAGTATCATGTCAAACAAATGTTCGGCTAGGAGCAGGAGTGAGGAGAAACTAGTTAGGTGGACCTATCAACAACACAATTTTAAAAGGTGAAAGGGAACTACACAGATACACGGTCAGTGACATGGACAGATACAGAGTCAGGGATGCAGACTGATACACGCTCAGGGACATGGACAGATACAGAGTCAGGGATACGGACTGATACACGCTCAGGGACATGGACAGATACAGAGTCAGGGATACGGACTGATACACGGTCAGGGATATGGACGTGCACTGGTAGGGGCAGGGACAGGAACAGAAACAATGAGGAATCCGTAATCTGTAACAGTCCAACTAACTTCAGTAGTCATTCTTGGAATAAGCAATGATCCTTGCCATAATGCATTATTATATATGTTGAGTTCGAAACAGGACGACTGACGACATTTCCAGACATTACAACGGGAACAGGTAGGTTGGGGGAACGACATTTATTATAGACGACGAGACAAGAGACCAAGACGAACGAAACGACTACATTGAAGAGTGAGAAAAGAGAGAGAGAGATCAAGTCTAAACGACAAGATAAAGGGCCTGGGTAGCTATGGCAAATATGGGCGCGCAAGTAGCTACCCAGGCCAACGGAGCAAAAGGAGACAAAAGGTGCGTACGCAAGGGCATGCAGGCCAGCTAGAAATGTACGGGAGGTGGTACCTAACATACCACCCCTCCATGAAAAAATCCCGCGTCCTCGCGGAGAGAAAAAAAGAGAGGAAAAGATTTTAAAAAAATGAACTGGAGGAGAAAACACACACACACACACACATACTGCACGCGCGCATGGATCTCACGAAAGTGTGTACTAAAATGCACTCGTACAGATCATTCCTGTACTACTTATTGTGTGAAATAACAATTGGAGTTTGACGAGGAACGTGAATTACTAGTATTTTGCACGGCTAATACAGCCTAGTTACACTTTTGCTAAACATCCAAAAATTAGAGCGTGGCTCACCATGATCGGACCCCTAACTTGGTTATGTTTTACGAACACACGCGCGCGCACACACTACAAAAAATTCACGAAAATAAATTTGACGAAGAAGCATACAAAAAAAAGAAAGAGAGAAAGGTAGCTGACCTGCATGGCTTGAACGAGAATAGACGAGGTAAGGTTGGCGTAGGAGAGACGAGGTTGATAGAGACGAGACGAGGTTGGCGTAGGAGAGACGAGACTGACATGGACGAGACGAGGTTGACATAGACAAGACGAATGGTGGTTGAGGACGGCTGGGCATGGGATGATCTCATGCTCTACCGACTGTGTACGGGAGGTGGTACCTAACATATACATGAACAAGCAATGATGGACATAACACCTAACAGCAGCAGCGTGATAATAGCAGTTGATAAGTGTATCCTATTCCTAGTGTTAGTAGTAACAGTGAATCTGTTACACCATTCCCCCCTCTCAACTGTCAGAACAGTACCAATTCGAAGGAACAGTTATGGTAACTAATGATCATGCATGGATATGTGGAATGCATGGTAGCCGAAAACAACACTGATGAACTCAAGATCCAGTGCATGTCCTCTGCAAATAACGCCTGGCTGGCAGGGAAGCACTATCCTAAACATGCAGAATGCTACATTTCTATTGCAACACGTAGAAACTAGCAATACAACTGTGGCTGCCAATTAAATAGCAATTTTATGAAAAACGGTCCAGGTAGGTTTTCAGCGGAATAATAGCGTTTCCTGCTTCATCCATCAAGTATTCCTCCGGCTCCCAGGTGGCATCTCGGTAGCCCTTCCATTTCACTAGGTACTGCGTGCGCCGTCCTCTCTTCTTGTGCGACCACACCTTTTCGACAATGTACCGCGTATGGCCATCCGCATCGGTTAGGGGTGGAGGTGCCGGCTGAGTACGGCCCGGTATCTCATTGCCATGGTACAGCTTGAGGGCAGCAATATTGAACACTGGATGGGCCCGAATGATTCTTGGAAGAGCTAATCTGTACGCATTCGGGGCCACTTTCTTCTGCACCTTGAACGGCCCATACCACTTGAGCCTTAATTTGTGTGAAGGCCTGTCTCGTTCCTCGGGCGTCAGCAGGAAGTCCCTGAAGACCAACACCTCATCCCCCTCCTTCAGGGCGTCCTCCACCCGTCCTCGATCCGCATACAATGATTGCCGGGCCTGCGCCGCCACGATGGCATCCTGTGCCTCACGTAGTGCCTCTACGCGGCCATCCAGCCATGACAGCGGACCATTCGTATCCATGCCAGCTCCAGCTTTCTGCTTCGTCAATAAGCTCGAGGGAGTAACTGGATGGCATCCATGGTTGAGGAAAAATGGCGTGTTACCTGTTGACGCTTGATCGGCATTGTTGATCGCAAACTAACATAGCGATAGGAGTTCATCCCAATTGTTTTGCCTATGGTTGACGAAAGCTCTTAGTGCATCCTTAAAGACACGGTTCACACGCTCAGTCATGCCATCGGTCTGCGGGTGGTTGGCCGTGCTCATTTTTAGCTCCACGCCAAGAATACTGAAAACCTCCTTGAAGAACGCCGACGTGAATCGCGGATCTCGATCACAAACTATCGTTTTGCTCAAGCCATGGGCAGCAAACACATGATCCACGTACAATCGGGCTGCCTCCTTAGAGTCAACATGAACAGTCGTCGGGATCAGGTGCACATACTTCGTCAGACGGTCCACAAAGGTTAGAATGGCGCTATGTCCTCGGCAGGTCAGCGGCAGTGCCATGATGAAATCCATGCTGATGTCTGTCCAGGGCTGTTCGGGGACTGGAAGGGACTGCAACAGTCCTGCCTTGGTCTGGCTACCCTTTACGCGTTGGCACCGGTCGCAAGATTTAACGAAGTCCTTCACAGTACTTCTCATGCCTGGCCAATAGAAGTATCTGCTCAGCTTCAGGTAGGTCCTGTCTCTCCCCGGATGGCCGGCCGTCAGGCAATCATGATTCTGTTTGAGCAGTTGCAGCCGTACCGGACCGCGAGGAATGCAGAGGCGAGCATCGCCCGATGTTACTAGGTACAGCCGCCGGTCCACACTGTTCCAGACGTATCGCTCATGCATGGCGTCTTCGCTGCAAGCCATCAAGCGCTTGATTACTGGCGAAAGCTCTGGGTCACTATCATACCCTGCTGAGATCTGATTCGCAATTCCTTGATTCACATCCAGAGAGAACTCGATTCCATTCAGTTCCAAGTCTGGTCGACGTGACAACGGGTCTGCTATGTTACACTTCCCTGGCTTGTGATGTACCGTGTAGTCATAGTCGGCCAGGAATTCAATCCATCGAGCCTCTCTCTTGGTTAAGTTTGGTTTGGTCCTGAGGTAGACAACTCCCATGTTGTCGGTGTAGAGTTGAAAGTGGCGAAATAGGTAGACTCGCCAGCACTGCAGGGCGTACACTACAGCCAAAGTTTCTCGCTCGGCGGCCGTGTAATTCCGTTCGGCAGAAGACAGCTTTCGGCTCACGTAAGCCACAGGATGCCAGGACTGGTCCTCTGCGTTAAGACTCCTGCCACAGCAAAGTCACTTGCGTCAGTCTCAACGCGGAAATCCTGACTGACGTTTGCTAGTCGCAACACTGGTGCATCCAGCAGAGCAGACTTCAATCGCTCAAATGCCTCCTGTCGAGTCTGATTCCACTCGAAGCGCACATGTTTCCCTGTCAGTTCCTCCAGGGGTTTGGAGATGGCCGAGAAATGGTTAATGAACCTTCGAAAGTAATTAGCGAATCCCAGAAACTGTCTTACGTGCGTGACCGTCGTCGGGACAGGCCAGTTATGCACGGCCTTGATCTTCTCTGGATCTGGAGAAATGCATTGGCCGTCTATCCGGTGCCCAAGAAACAGAACGTCTGTCCGGCCGAATTCACATTTAGACGGTTTGCAATATAGCTCATTCCTCCTGAGGGCGTTTAAGATGGTTCTGACATGATCGAGGTGCTCCTCCCATGATTTGCTGAATATGAGGATATCGTCTAGAAACACCACAACGAATTTACGCAGGTATGGCTGGAGGACACTGTTCATCAGGGTTTGGAATGTTGCCGGGGCATTTGTTAGGCCGAAACCCATCACTGTGAACTGAAAGTGACCGAATGGGGTATTTATTGCTGTCTTCGGAATATCTGTTTCTTCTATTCGAATCTGATTGTAACCGGACCTCAGATCTAGCTTGGTGAAATACGCACTGCCTTGGACGGTATCAAAGAGGTCGTCAATATTTGGTAGGCATGCCTTGTTCTTAATGGTTATGCGGTTTAGCTCACGCCAGTCGCATACCATTCGAAGTGTTCCATCCGCCTTCTTTACGAAGAACACAGGGGCTCCGTATGGGGATTTGCTGGGCTGGATGAATCCTCTACGGAGCAGCTCGGTGAGCTGAGCTTGAAGCTCATCCATCTCTGGTTTTGGTAAACGATATGCTGCACGAGATGGCGGTTTAGCTCCTTCTTCCGTTTTTATCTCGTGATCTGCGCCTCTTCTGGGTGGCAGCTTGTTTGGAAGCTCATCGGGAAAGACGTCCCCGAACTCCTTCAGCAGGTCCTTGAAATCCTTCTGATCCTCCCTACCCGGACTATCCACCGTCTGTGGCTCGTCCGGATCTGCTGTCACATACGCTAGGATTCCTTCTGCGCCACCTCTCATTGCATGCCTAGCCTGCTTCCCTGAGATGAGGAACGTCTCGATCGGTGGGTTGGATTTGTCCGTGCCATCACTTTCACTCGGTTGACAGATGATGGATCCACCCTCCAGCTTGATTTCATTGGTACGAAAATTGATCTGTGGGTTCGTCCGGGTCAGCCATGGCTTGCCGAGGATCACGTCATACCGCGTCATAGGGAATACTAGGAACTGTTGGTGCTCGCTAAAGTCGCCGACTACGGTCTTCAAGCTGTCCGTTTTCGTAATAGGCTGTGAGCGGACCGATCCATCAGCAAGTGTGACGTTCAGGACGTCGCTACCGGTTGTTGTGGAGATGTTGTGCTTCTTGACAAGGTCAGTTGAAATGAAGTCGTGGGTTGACCCAGAATCCAGTAGCATGGTAACGCGACGTCCATTTATCTTGCCAGGTCGTGTTCGTTGTCGGCGGAAATGCTCCCTGTGCTGGCGGTTACTTCATTAGGCCGGCCAACAGTATCAGGTGACGAATGCTTGACAGGCGAGGCTTGAATTTCGGTCTCCTCGAGGCGTGGTTCCTCATTTGCTAAGGGGCTGAATTTGTTCTGAACTTTGATTCGTGGCCTATTCCT